AAAGTCGAACGAGACCCTGCTCATTTTCCACATCCTGCTATTCAAAATGCACTAGTGGGTTATCTGCTAAGTCAGTGGTTTTTTGGGTCTACAAATAAAAACGAAATTTTGAAAAGGAGTGCAATCAAGTATGTATCTCCTATTATTGCTTGCGACCTCTTCCCATATTTTAATCATTTTGTCGATACCATTGCCAGAAAATCCGCCTAATCTGGTGTCAAAACAGTCGTCAATCCCATTTTCCTTCGGCGTAGAATGCAGTGCCATCTATGTGCTCTGAAAGCGACTGGAAAAAATTTAAGTCTGACGGGGGATCGTGGTTGTAGGGTTGATGGTACAGAACCTCCCACTTGAGCGCTTTGTTGGCCATTTTGAAGAGTTTTGCAGTGTGAAGTAAGGCGGTGTCATGTTTCAGAACCACTTGAAGGATATGACTGTATACGCCGTCCCGCAGCACTTTGAAGCAAAACCGCCTTTTATATGCGAATGGTAGTAAAAGGTTTTTACGCTTGGAGCTTTGACAGACTTACTGAAAGATCATTGGCCACTCCGGTTATTTGGGCCTCTGCCGCGAATGGGCGTTGTGCATTTTCTCTCCTATTAGCCACTCTTCGGAGTTACTTAGTTCATTAAAACAAGTAGGTGACGCGAATGTAATGTTCTGGCTTGCTACGTAGTTTGAAGTGTATCGTCCGTTTCTTTAACAGGCCGCGTTCGCATGATCCCTTTTACTACAATTCCCGTATTTGAGGTAGTCTTGCGTAAAAGTGCTCGAGAAGTGTCCGTACTCATATCCGACTACATCGGTTGACCTTGACGTTCGTATAGTTTTTGTTGAATATGTCCACTTGGGTGACGCAGTGCGGCTGTGTAGAAGTTTCTACCCACCACCTGGTTCTGCTCGAGCATTCCGTAATGAAATAAGTCTTCCTAATTTCACTACGAGTAACTCACGGGTGTTAGAATATGAATAGCCGGCTTCGACCGGGGCATTGCGTGCTCATCAGGGCTCACCCAGTCCTTTCTTTGTTTCACTCAGACGTAGGGGCACGATTTCTCATCGGCACTGGCTAGGCGATGGATAAATCCTTGCGTTCACGGGTGCATTTGCGTCATGCAAACAAATCGGCAGCACTAGTGGGGCGCTGATGATTGTTGTTTTCGAAACAAATGTAAGACAAACGATCCAAGCTTTCGAACTTCCCCTATGGACTCCAAGTTATTCAGGATGATCTGAATGTGCCAGTTCATTTTTTTCAATTTTCGGCTAGATCGCAGTTGGTAGCCAGGCCCCGTATTACAGGTGGCGGAGGGAGTTGTTTACTGGGGCTATTTTGTGGGGCTCCATAATCACATCTGACCTATTTGGCTTCCGTTTTACGTTTGAGAGTAGGATTAGGGTACCGGTTAATGGTTTCCGATTTTCGGGTTAGGGTTATGTATTCAGGCTTAGCTTTTCGTGTTACGGTTAGGGTTTGAGCGTACGATTAGGTTTCAGTATTACGGTTAGGTTTTCCGCTTACGGCTATGTCTAAGGGCTACGGTTACGTTAACGATTTCGGTTAGGATTAGGGTTAAGGTCGCCGTCTGCTTCCCCATTCCTGGCTACCAACTGCGATCTAGCCCAGTTTTCTACTGGCTTGCGGACCATTTCCCTTCAAAAGGGCATTGAGGCAGTTCCTATCGAAGCCAGACGGCCGCTCTGAGCGGGGGCGTCTTCGATTGCAAACGTTTCCTTTTGGAATTAGGGGAACTAATCTTGAGGGGTTCTTTCATGAATAACATCCTCTCCGTACAAAGCACAAAGGTCACAAGCAGCTTCCACAGCTTTTATACTGGTTCTAATGCCGAAAGAAAGCAGATGTCAAAAGCTTATTTTTTCTCAAATTAACACTTAATAATTTAGGCCTGAAAAATTATCTAGATAATGAAAATACAGGGAAATGGTTGCAGTGGCTTTGTAGAGTAGAAAACATGCTTTCAAATAATATGTTGTACTTGCCATAAAAGAACAAATTAGAGGAAGAAGCTTCATCTGAAGAAAGTCAGAGAGGCTCTATTTATGATCTGATAATTGTTACAAACACGGTCCATGTCAAGCTTAGCAGTTATTATGGGAATATTTTGCCCTATGGGTGACCTACCAAATTAATCTACGAGGAGAGATAACCAAACCATCCTTACTTTAGCCTTTAAGTTCCGTTTTAAATGTGATGCATCTGTTTTGCACTAATTCCCACGCCCAACATTAACTACCAGTTGTTGGCTTTTCAAGTCACGACTCATAGGGCTTAGTGAGAGTCTACATGCACTCCAACTGGACATATCTGCGGGAACAACGTTGAAATCGTACCGTTCTCGCCTGTCCCAGTGACAAGACTATACGAAAAGGGGGTTGCTGACAAAGACTAGGGAGACTGGGATGGTTATTTCTAGCCTACTGACCACCCCCAGCCCTAGTTAGTGTACGAAAAGTCCTTGCTATGGGGCCAGTGCTGGTCAGGTTAGTTACCCACCCACGCGTGCCACAGCGTCTGGTGGGGGGTAGACTTCGGCGTGACAATCCCGATCACAGTGAGTTGATTTTCCCCGTATCGAATTATTAAACCTGCGCGTGTCCCTAGACCTCGTCGTCCAACACAAATAGACTGGAATTTAACCACACGAGTGCCTTCGTCTTTGCACTAATGAGCTAACCAACGAACTCATTGCATCTGACAGTTGGACTGACGCAGGCAGCTGCATCCGCTGGGTGTCTCACGCCGCAGAGGCATCATCGGTGCCTCGCGAGTGGATTTGTCCATAATGAGCTAGGCCTGCAAGGCATTTCCGACCTCTCATTTCCCTCCCCCCTGATCCCGATGGCAAAACAACGTCAAGGTAACCGGAAGTGGGCGTGGATTCACTGGCTGGAAAAAGATAAGCAGTCTTTCGACGATTGCCGCACACAGCCCTGTCCCCACAGCATGTATCAGACTCTCAGATGGACTACTGGGATTTCACACGCGTAAGTGCCATGAAGGCCACAGTGGTTAGAATCCACTGAGCCTAATTATTGGCGCTGAGAAGAACCGAGTTGCTGTGTAGTTTGTCAGCCTTTGCAGCTCGTTATGGTAGTTTCAAACGCGATGGGTTTGTTATGTCGAGGAATGATCTGACAAAGTGGAAGATAGCGCGCCTACGTCTGCGACACACAACCTGATCAGCATATCATATCAAAGGGCACAGCGCAGAAAATGCTCCGTTTTACATGAGATGCGCATGTTCTAAACATATGGCATGTGATGCGGAGCGAGAATGTCTGAGCTTGTGAGGGGAGGTGTAGTGGAAAGGTTTGGTTTGTGGTGTTTTGCCGCGGATTTTCATGTAAGGGTGTGTGGCCGAGTAGGTCCACAAGGCGACTGAATGTTTGTGGGCAGGGCCAGTAATTGAGGCGAGTGCGACGACAAATGCATGTTGGTACTCCCGACCCTGGTTCGCCAGTCTCTATTCAATGGATCCGTAGGTGACCGACCGGACCAACGCGTGATGAAAACGCTCGATGGCAGTAAGAACAGAATGCAGTTGTGTCAGCCGAGCTGGTTGTGGCGGCAGTGCTGATTGTGGTGAGGTTGGTGGTGCTGATGACGGAGGAATTTTCAGAGTGCGGGGAAAAGGGACAGGTAGCCAGCACGGCCGGACTCGCACCTATGCGAGCCATCAAATCTCCTGGTCCACAACACACACTTGACCGGGATTTTAGCCAACAACGACAAAAAACGGAGGTTGACACGACCGGAACCGCATCTAACCATGCCGTCACACCTGGTTTGGATCCCACCGAGTGGGAGTTCCGTAAAGGCCACATTAGGAAGGAACTATAGCAGCCTGACCCTTAGACCGTCAGTCGACCACTCCACACACAAACACATAACGCTGGGCCGACTGCGAGGTCCAAGTTATCCCATTCAGTTGGCGGCCTTCCAAACTACGGCTTTTAGCGCACAGTAATACCTTCCAGCGCGTCAGATTGTTTATAGTGAGGAAAATGTTCTGAGTCGTCGATCCCACTCACCCTTCCCATTCCGAGGTCCCAGTCACTGTCCGAGGCGGCCAGTTGACTGAAGTGGGGAATGGACGCGGTGACTGACTGTCTGTGGGCGTCACAGGCACGGCCTGGTCCCCAAACACAAGCACCAGAATTTTGCACAACGGGGATTGAGCGGCGTACATCTCACATGCGTGAGAGTGCCGTAGGTCACGTTAAGAAGGAGCCGCTTCAGCCTGGCTCTCAGCCCACCAGTCCGTCACTCCACACAAACACACACAGATGGGCAGACTGTGTAGACTGAGTTGGGGCGTCAGTCACGGAGCTCGGCGCACCGTCTTCGTCTCAGATTCGAGTCACACATGCAGCAAGGGAGCCGCATGGTGAAGAGGCCGAGACGCACACTTCCCACTTACGCAGGAGGTGACATTTGGAAGCTTGTGGTGGGTGATGGTGATGTGCGATGAGATGCTGGTGAAGAAAGATGTGATGGTGTGGCGCAGCCGACTGTCGTGTACCATAAGTTTTCCTGAAAGCGCATGTAGCCTAAGAGGCCCATGCGATGCTTGAATGTGCGAGTGCAATGTGGACAGTTGAGGCGGACGCGGCGAGTGTAGGCTGGTGCTCCAGGCAGTGGTTCGTCAGCCTCTGTGCGATGGATGAATAGGTCGATGTGTGGGGTGACTGTGCGGGGATAGTGGGAACAGGAAAAGTCGGCGATGTCAGTGTCCGTTCCGGAGATGGTGGCAGTGGTGGAGCAGTTGATGGTAGACACGCTGGGCGACTGGGGTGTGCGTTGGGTTAGGCATGGTGCGTGTGCAAGATGCGTTGAGTGTAGTGAATGTGATGGCGATGGGCGTGCTGGGCGGCGGGGTGTGGGTTGAGTTAGGAATGGTGCGTGCGCAAGAGATGCTAGGGGTGTCCTGGCTGTGGTCAATTCCGCTCTCTTGGATACGCATTTGACCGAATAGGCTTATGTGGTGGCTGAATGTGCGGAGGCAGTGCGGTCAGTGGAGGCGGATGCGGCGAGTGTAGGTTGGTGTTCTAGGCACTGGTTCGCCAGTCTCTGTGCGATGGATTCGCAAGTGACCGACCAGGCCGATGTGTGAGGTGAGGGTGCGCTCGTAAGTAGGACAGGTGCGGATCGAGTCCACACCGCTAGCGTTGATGGTGGAAGGGGGAGGTTGATGTTTGTTGGTATGCCAGGATTGTGTGCAGCGGTGGTGGGTACAGGCGACGCCGTAGCGGATGTTGAGGCAGCGGCGGTGTAAGTAGGGCTGACCGTGGTAGGTGTGGAGGATGCACTGGGTGTGGTGGAGTTGATAGTGGACGCACAGGGCGGTGGAGTGAGGGCGAGGCTAGGCATAGCAGGTGACTGGATGTGTTGGGTGCGTCGAGATTGCGGTCACTTTCGTTCTCGTGGATACGCATGTGGCCGAATAGGCCCATGTGGTGACTGAATGTGCGGAGGTAGTGCGGGCAATGGAGGTGAATGCGGCGGGTGTAGATTGGTGCTCCACGCACTGGTTCACTCGTCTCTGTGCGATGGATTCGCAAGTGACTGACCAGGCCGATGTGTGGGGTGAGTGTGCGGCCGCAGTGAGGACAGGCATAGACCAGGTCCTTATCATTGGTGTCGATGGTGGTGCTGGCTTAAGTGAGAATCCGAAATGTCAGGCGAATAAAGTCCTTGTTCCAGTGACCGCTTCCTCTTCTAATCAACTAGTTCTTGGAAGTCGCATCTTCGTTTGTATCGGTGGTGTTGGCGTGTCAGAATTGAGTGTAATGTTGATGTGCATGGCAGACGCCACAACAACGAAGGTTGAGGCAGTGGAGGAGGGGGAGGAGGAGGAGGAGGAGGAGGAGGAGGAGGATGGCAGTGGAGGCCGGGAGTACGGTCAGTGTTAGTTGTCAGCGTGGAGGATGAGGCAGAGCTGGACGAGGAGACAACACATGGTATAGTCCGGGTGCTGAAGGTTGTACGAAGACGTCCTACAAGACCGATTGTTGCCCGGAACGTCCGCTAGCAATTTGGGCAGATCGGGCTGATTGAGCGTTCGTGTTGCGAGGTGGCGCAGTTGGGATTTGCGAGTCTCGTATTTGGCTTTAGTGGAGGTGATTCGGTTGGCTGCGTAGGTCGCTGCTGCTGTCTTCATTGTCCTGCAGGTCGGTTGGTCTCGGGCGAGGTCAGCCCAATTTGCAGGGTTGATGTGCAGACGCTTGAGGGAAGTCTTCGGTGTCCTTGTGTCGCCGGACTTGGCCTGTTTGTAGGCGAGAACCCGTGGCAACATCTCCGAAGAAGAGTTGTTTGGGTAGCCACTCGTTGTCCATCCGCACGAGGTGGCCGCTCCAAAGCAGTTGCAGTTGTCTCATCATGGCGTGGATGCTGAGGATTCCCATCCGCTCCAGTACGTCTGTGTCGGGGATCCGGCCCTGCCACCTCAGCTTCAATATCCGTCGACGACTGCTGAGGTGGAAGTGATGAAGTCTTGGCGCCTGATTCTTGTAGAGCGTCCAGATCTCTGCTCCATACAGCAACGTCGGCAGAATGACTGCCCTGTATATCTTTAGCTTGGTGTTGAGGTGGAGACTGTGGCGATTCCAGACGCTTAACTGACCTTGGAAATCTAATAAGCTCCTTCATCGTCGACGTTGGTGTTGCGGGAGAACGTGCTGCTCATTTAGGTGTAATTGTCCATGGCCTGCAATTTTTACGTTGTTCACGTTGATTTGGGGCACGATGTAGGCAGCGTCGAGTGGTGGTTGATGCATAACCACCGTTACTCCGTGTTGATGACTAGGCCGAAGCTGCCGCAGGCGGCAGCGAGGAGCTCCGTGATCCTTTGCATGTCCCCTTCCGAGGTGGCGTTGAGGGTGCAGTCGTCGGAGAAGATAATT